CTCCTCAGTAAATTGGGAGCATGTGGACCATGGAAGTGAGTTGAAGTGGAGGGCAGAGGAAGGGTGGTGAGCAGAGAAAAATGTATAGCTTAATATAAACTTCAAAAATTTATAATAAAAATCAAAGGAAAAAACCCTACTGCTTCACAGAAAACTCTGTCAGATATTCTAGGTCTGTAGGCCAAAGACAGATGCCCCAATGTTGCAGAAGAATTTTGGGTTACTGTCCAGGAAGCCAGATGTTCTTGTTGTTAGGTAATATTGCATCCTTATGGGGTCTTTGATGGAGTTAAAGACTAAGTTAAGCATATAGTTTTCTTTAGTTATGATTAAAGTTAAATTAGGTATAAAACCTTAATTCACAAAGATAAGATAGATAATATTTTCTTGAAATTTTCCAGATGCAAATGGACTGGATATTGTAACTGTAATTCTTGCTTGATAACTATTTTTGTTGTGTATAGTTTTACTATGTTAAAGTTAAAACCTTCATTTTTAATTAGACAAAAGGGGGAAATATTGTGTAATAATCTTTTGTGCACTTTATGAAAATGTATAGCTTTCATTGATTTAATGAAGACCTAACTAGCCAATAGCTAGGCAGAAAGAGACAGACTGAAAGAATGCTGGGAAGAAGAAGGACAGAGTCACCAGCCAGACACAGAAGGAGTAGAATGTGTAGAAGATGAGGTAACAAGCTATGAGCCACTTAGCAGCATGTACATTAAGATAATGGGTTAATTTAAGTTGTAAGAGCTAGTTAGTAGCAAGCCTAAGCTACTAGCCAAGCATTTATGATCAATAATAATCTCTGTGTGGTTATTTGGGAGCTGTCTGATGGGACAGAAATTTCTGCCTACAGTAAGGTGTCATGTGGCCAGTCTCATCCAGTTGGTTGAAGGGCTTTCCAGTAAAGCTGGGTTTGTGAGATGTACTTGTATCACTGTAACAAGATACCTCAAAGAAACAGCTTAAGGGAGCAAAGAATTATTTTTGTTTGGCCTCATGCTCAGTCAAACATCATAGCAGTGGAAGTGTGTGGAAGAGGTTATTTATTTCTTGACAGATAGGAAGCAGAGATAAAGGGAATAGAGTCCAGGGTAGAATATAATGTGACCTGCTTCTTTCATCTGGCCCTCTTCCTACTGTTCCCTACTTCTCCACAACGCCGCCACATTCTGACTCCACCAAGGCTTTGATCCACTGTTATTCAGAGCTCTCAATACTTAGCCACCTCTGGAAATTCCTTCACAGACACCTCTATATCACTTAGTTCAATCAAGATGAACCATAAAAATTCTGTCTATTATCTGCTATCCCTTTTCATCTACTTACCTATTCCTTCTATTGTTTTTTAACTCTGTCATGCATTATCCATCATCTCTCACTAGTTGTGCTTCTCTGGAGGGTCTTGGGTACTTATCTCTGGAACCCTAAAACACAGTGCACATCAGGTACAATAACTGGATAAATTTACTTCAAGTGAAAGATCAGGATTATGATGAACCTTTTTTTTTTTAAAAATATAGGGCTGGTCTCTAATGTTCTATGCAGCCAAAAATGACCCCAAACTTCCGACCCTCCTGTGTATTCCTGTGAAGTATTGGGATTACAGGTATGCATCACCACACCTGGTGTAATTATGTAATGGGGATCAAACCCAGGGCTTCCCTCATGCTATACAAGGCCTCTACCAATTGAACTATATCCCTAGCCCAGGACTAGAATTAAAACATATGTTTATTTTTTTTGAGATTAAAATATAATGATATCATTTCCCACTTCCCTTTCCACTCATCCAACATTGCCTCTATTTCTTTTTCTTTAATTGTTGTCTAACACAAATATTTACATATATTTCTAAATATATACTTATAACCAGGACTAGTATTTTGATGACGTCTGTTTCAAAGTTTTGCCAGGGATGAGTGTGTCAACAAGCTCTGCAGGAAACAAAGTATCGGTGTGTTCTCACTCATCTCTGTGTCTATCACAGTGTTTGGTCTCTTTTCTGGGGTCTAGCTCAAAGGGACAAGTACTTTCTGGAACGTGACACTTTGGGGCAAAAGGACAGAACCACGTGGGCTCACACTGTGGCTGCTCTCATGCACATCCTGGTTGAGGCTGAGCTCTTCCTTCCAAGACCAGAATGCCCGAGCATGGAGTGAACAGTGAGGGAGCTGGTACTAGGATGAGTATGTGCTTGGGGAGCAGGGGATGGGTTCCCTAAGTCCGCCATGTTCTCTAAGCCCTGTGGCCTCACTCTTATGGTGGAGTTCCGCCACTTGGTCTCTCTCTATGGGGTATCTTCAGCCTGCTACAGGAAAAGATCCTGTGGCTATGTGATGCTTGTGTGTGTGTGTGTGCGCGCGTGTGTGCGCGCATGTGTGTATGTGTGAGTGCGTGTGCGCATGCATGTGTGCGTATGCATGTGTGCATATGTGTGTATGCATGCTTGGCAGACTTGGAGTTCAAGTAAATGTATGGACCTCCTGCTCTGCCCAACTGGCCCGTGTCACATCCTACCTGGAACAGCCACTTAGTTCCCAGCACATATCTGTGCCAGATTAGAAGGCCAGTTAGGGATGAGGAAACTGGTGTGACTTTATCGTAAGTGCCCAGCAGTTGTATGGACCTGCAGGAACATGATCTAGAGGGGACATTCCTGTCTACAGAGCTCAAACTTCACTGGAAGGTGGACATCCATGGTCACTGAGTGGAGTAGTGGGGTGCTTGCTGGGTAGGGTGAGGGCAGTCATAGAAGAGAAGGCGGGTGATATGCTGGAGGCCGTGGAGTAAACACAGGAGGGAGATCGGTGTGTGCAAAGCCTGAGGCATGGGCACTGCGTCCAAGGGGAGTGGTGCTGGGAATTAGTCAGCATTTATCTTCTTGTAAGGACTTACGTGACTGTGTCGTGTATGGTTCCTGTGCTGTGGTTATTACATGATACCACACCGTGATGCCCATGTGGACATGTCTCTCTGTGTTCTGAGACAGTCTTCATGTAATTTATGTGTGCGCATATCATACGTATGCATATGTCACTTCTCATGCAGGCGATTGACCTGGGCTATAATCGGTATTTGTGTCACATGACGGTTCTCAGGTTGTGGTAGATTGTAAGTAGGTCAAGTGTCAGTTTCTGTATGGTCAGTCATGGCTACTACCTCTGTGCCTGGCCAGCACGGGAATTCTGTCTCCTCTAGGCTGTACCTGTTAGGAACTGTAATTGATGCCCTCTATAGAAGTTCCACATGCATGTCATAAAGGCTATACCATAGATGTCCACCAGAGACGTCATGTGGGGATCTCTCTCTCACACATAAACATGTAATTATCATAGTATGAACGCCACACATACATGTCACACCACAGAATACACACCTTGGATATCATACCACAGAGGTCAGGGAGGAACTCAGATAGCATCAGGGAAACAAGCAGTAAAACTCAGCCTGAAACCAGTTGGTCTCAGAGCTGGAGGTTCGGAAGGCATGCCCAGTGATTGTAGTGTTTGTGTCTATAGGTTTAGTGCTGATGGAGATGTTAGGGCTCAGGAGGCTAGGACACTTCATGGGGTGGGGGACCCTGGGTGGAGTCTAGAGTGCAGTGGGGTGCCAGGAGGTGGTGGAGGGCGATGCAGGGTCAGTACATATGCAGAAGTGAGGGAGGGGCTTGGAGGTAGGACGTCTGCACTTCCTGAGACCACGTGGTCAGCTTTGGTTTGGGATCATCTCCCAATAAGAAGTTGAAGCAGGGCTAGAGAAATGGCTCAGCAGTGGTTAAGAGCTTTTACTGCTCTTGCAGAGAACACAGATTCAATTCCCGTCACCTACATGGTGGCTCACAAGTATCTGTGATTCCAGTTCCAGGATAGCTGATGCCTCTTCTCACTTCCATGTGCTCCTGCACACACAAGGCACACAGACATACGCTTAGGCATACTCACATACGCATGGAGCAGATAAACAGTTAAAAATTAAAAAAGAAGGTGAAGCCCCTGGAGACCAACACTTACTCTAGGGACAAACAACTAGAGAAGCAGGGCCATGCCCAGGAGGAAGAGTGGGCTGGATCTCACTGGTCTCATTGGTCAGTGGGAGCTGGAGTCCAGAAGACTTGATGGTCTTCTCTATCACACATTACTACCCTACCCCTGAATTTCAGGGTTGCCCAGCTCATTGTGGTATACACCTCTCCCCTGTGCCTCTCCTGCTCCTCCTCTTGGTAGCCACAGCCTGTGTGGGTTAAATCTGACCCCAGAATGAATCCCACACAGTCTGACTAGTAGACCTTTGGAGGAGACTTGGGATAGAGCTCATTACTGGTTGGCTTAGGTTTTGGCATGTTGGCATAGAGGGGGAGTGGCATTGTATGTAGGAAGGCTATGAATTGTAGGGACCTTAAGGTCATTGTTAAAGGCTAAATTCTGTCCCCAGCAGATTCACCAGTTTGGCATTTAAGCCACCAGGACCTCAAACTGTGCCTATGTTTGCAGCCTGTGGGGACACACAGAAAAGAAGGCATCTACAAGCCAAGAAGAGCCCTGCTGAGAACCCACCCTGGTCTTGGACTTCTACCAGTGAGACAATAAACATCAGACAATTATGGAGGCATCTGAATGAATCCCTGTCCTTTGCTGAATCCATAGCAGCTCAAAGTCACTGAAAGCCACATGCTTCTCAGCTGGTGTAGGAGGCTTTGCCTGGCCAGCCTGGGGGTCGTCCCCTGGGCTTGGGCCCTGCTTCCCAGCCCGCCCATGGGAGAAGGGCAGTCTCCAGCAGGGAAGAAACTATCTGTAGGGAGGAAGTGCCCAAGCTTTTGGTGATTCTGGGTGGCAGGACTAGAGTCCAGCTGTGAGTGACTCGCTGAGGACACAGGACCAGGTGGGAGGTAGAGGGGCCTGCATGGCTGGCTCACTGCTCTGGGCATCTTGCTTAGTTTCTGAATGTCAGGGCTGACCCATACAAGAAGGGCACAGTGAGATACAGATTATTAGAAGAATGTTTTATTGTTGAAAATACCTAAACAACAGCAACACACACACACACTTGCACACACAGAGACCTTAAAGGCATTTATAGTCTCCAGAAGGAAGAAGCTGTTAAAGGTCCAAGTTCTCTAAGCATTTCCTGCCATTCACAGAAGGGCAGATGCCCACACTCTCATCCTGTCTGGAGACTCTGACATCTCAACTGGCCCTGAGAGGTGATGGAGAAATAGACACAGGGCTACTGTCCCCTGGCCGCTACAGCCCTGGTACCCCAGCTCTGTTTTCCTGCCTGACTGGTGTTTATTGCTGTAAGTGGTCCAGTCTGGATGCCAGGCCGGCAGGGCAGGTCTGCCGCACTGTGGCTCGCTTCCAGTCAGCCCTTCACATCTTTTCCCTGTTGCTCATTGGCAGCCTTCTTTTTTGGTGAGGGGTGCTGATAGCAATATTCTCACCAGGGCCCTTTCCTGGAGGTTTTTCTGGATGTTCACCCAGCCAATACTCAGTGGCCTCTGCACTTGTCCCTGCTAGGGCTTCGCAATGCAGTTCTTCTGAGCGTCTCCCCAGAGTGTGGCTGGGATCTCGATGGAGGTGGCAGTGGCCTTATCTCAAGGTTTTGTTGTCAACGGTGTCTGTGGGTTGGATCCTGCATCTGAGAATCCAGCATTTTGAGTGAGTAGCAGGAACAGGGACCGGTGTCACTACTCTTATCTCCAGCAGGCACGTCCCAACAGTTTGAGAGACACAGGCCCTTTCCTTGGCCTAGGGTTCACAGAAGTGCCAGGAAGGAAGCTGCCCAAGCATAGTGGGCACAAGGGTACCGACATTCAGTGGTCTCTTTTGGGCTGTGGTGACCCTCGTCTTCTTAACACATGTTTCCTTTCAAGGATTTAAAAACTTTCTCCTTTCTGGGAAAACCCTCTTCAGAGGATGGTGTGAGCAAGGATAGCTCCAAGGCTGGGCCCCAGCACAGCTGGGCTCAGGCAACGTGGGCTCCCAACTCCTCCTGGGCAAACATTCTGAGGTCTCAGATCCCCTGGTGCCAGTTTGAAGGGAGATGGTCCTTCTGGTTCCAAACAGTTAGTTATCTGGCAACTGCTGTGGGGGTGTTGCCCAGATCTGGGACAAAGCCTGCTGTCCACATGGTTCTCCGAAGGGTCAACAATTGAGAGTGCTGATTCAGAGCATCATAGGGTCAGAGGGTGGTGACATCAGAGGGCAGTGTGGGCTCCATGTTAGCTTCCATAGTAAGATGGATGGGGTTGTGCAGGGCCTAGGAAACCCTGATCATCTCAGAGGAAGTGGCCTAGGCCCCCTGCCCAATCATATTTCTGTAGTCAGGGGAGATTGCTTGCTTCAGTTCCACCACTGAGGAGAAGATCCACTTTACCTGTGGGGAGGTGAGAGTAAGTCAGAGACCACACCCAAGCTCGGGCCCTTCAATCCTGTGGGTGAGACAGAGGCCCCTCCCTCCTGCAGTTCCTTTCATACAGGTAGGAGACTGGGAATGGCAAGGGACCAGGCTAGGATACACGAACAGACAGTGTGGAGACACTGTGGGGGTTGAGACTGGGACAGTGAAGTTTACACTGGGCCTTGGTGAGTTTAATGGGGACATCATTAAGTGGGTAGTGTGATATTGCATGGGACAATAAGGGATATTGTGAGGAGTAGTGTGGAATACAAGGTGTGTCGAAAGACAGTATGGGGATGGCACGAGGATCACACAGGATGTCACGACAGACAGAATGACAGACAGCATGGGACACTATGGGGGGTCACAGAGAACAACATGGGGCAGGGAACAGTGGGAATGGTGGGACAGAGTACGGACAGCAAAGAAACATCATACGCCATCAGAGAAGGAGTGTGGGGACAGTATGGGAGCAGCGTAGGACACCACAGGGGACAGTGGGGGAGCTGTGCCGACCTTGAAGAGTGTGACCGTGGCACTGTAGCACACGCTGAGCAGGAAGAGGGTGATGAAGATGGTGATGGTCGTCCAGAGCCCGTCCAGCTCCCCGTCCAGGGCCTCAGCACAGCTGTCGTCCAGTTCCAGCTCTGGACAGAGAGGGGCAGTCAGTGTTTGTCCCAACAGGGTGTAACTGGGAGGGATTCCCTATGTGGCAAGTGGATCTGCATGGAGGCAGAGGAGAAAGGGCCAGCTGGGCTGGGCCAGCAGACCCTCCATGGGGTCAGCTCTCAATCTCAGTTCCCTTCAACTGCCTTGAGATTTGCCAGACACAATGGACCTAACAGTAGCCTGGGTTGTGCAAAGGCTTTTGCCTCATCCTTCATTCCTCAGTGCAGGAGGAAGTGGCAGGAGGAGTAGGGGCTGTGATCACAGTGGGCAGTGGCTCTACAGCCTGCCTAAACCTTTGCTTGTCCCCCGGTCACCAATAGAGCCTGTGCCTGGTCATGCCTGGAAAGCTCCAGAATGTGAAGCAACCCAGACCATTATGGCTGTGGGCTGTATAATTTGTGTGGGATTGAAACATGACCTTGAGGTACCAGGGACAGATTTGTCTCCAGAGGACTTGGGTTTAGCATAGAATGCGGGAGCCTTCAGAAGAGGAGAGTTGTGTTTGTTTGTGGGGGCACAAATGTGGACTGTAAGGTGGTGGTTGGGGGTATCGTGATGCATTTCTGGGTGTAGGTGTTGTGCAGGGTACACAGATAAGGTCCCAATGTCTTATGTGTACCCTGCGCATGTGCCTGTGCGTAATATGCCATACGGACTGGGTGATGTGCAGCAGCCTGGTTTTGATGGGTCAGGGTTCAGCATGCATGTGGGTGTCTAGTAGTCTCTCTCTCAGGGCATAGGAGTGAGTGTGCACTGGGTGGCCAGTGTCCTATGGGTGTGCAAACCTAGCCCGTGCAAAGCTTGTTGAGTTGAGTGAAGCGATGGCAGAGTCTTTGGCATGCCCAGCGCCATTGCTTGCCTCTGCAGTGTACTCAGAGAAACCCCTAGATATGGAAGTGGGGGAAGGGCTCAAGAATAGACTGAGATAGGGAAGTTTGTGTGTTTTCTTCCTTGGGAGTTTCCTAGGTATATTTCTCTGTCTAGAAGCTGCTGGTTAGTGGGAAGGCAAGGAAGAGGCACTGTCTAAGGCTAAGCCCTGGCACCCCAGGTCAGGGAAACTCATGAGCTCTGGGTCTGGAAGTGCAGAAACCTCATTCTCTTCCTAAAGACAACTCAGGCCTCAAACCATGGCCAGATCTCACAGCACATGACTTAGCCTCTATATCCTGGAAAGAACCACAGCTTCACAGGGTCCCAGGGTAGTACTGGGTGCTTTATTTATATAAGGGAAGGGTGGAGAAGGGTGCCAGTGTCCCTCAGGACCTAAGAGCTTTCCGGGTGCTGAGCTCATTTACCCTGAGACCGGGAGATGGACTTCATCGTCTGGTGGCTGTGCAGAGCCTCATGTAGCACGAAGCAGTTGAAGCTATCTCCCCGATCCCACCTGCTCTTTGGCACAGTGAGCTTGCTGTACATGAAGTAAGAGCCTTCAGAGTCTAAGACAGGTGGGGTGTTCCTGTAGTTCTGCTCTTCCTTCCCGTTGCTCTGCCACTCTACATGGATGTCCTCAGGGAGGAAGCCTGTGACCAAGCAGGTCACACTGACCTCTTTCTTGGTCATCTGCTCCGCAGGTGGAGGAAAGGTATAGACCTGTGGCATTCGGACTTGCCCTGAGGAGTTAGAAGTAAACAAAGAGGTCATTCAAGTGGAGAACTGTCCATCTCAGACCTCGTTCTCTTAATATATTACACACCTGCCTCACTAACACAACGTAACGCACCTTTGGGTTTCGAGATGGTTTTCTCGATGGGGCTTGGGAGGGCATTGTTTTTGACCTTGCATTTGAACTCCTTGCCATTCAACCAGTCATTGTGCTGGATGCGGAGAACACTGACCACGCGGAAGGTACTGTTGTACTGCTGCTCACGGGGCTGTGTCTGAGCTGTTTTCTCTTCTTTATTGTTCACAAACCAGCTGAACTGGACATCTGGTTCTTCCTCACTCACGTCCACCACCACACATGTGATCTTGGGCTCCATGGACATCATGAGCACATCCTTTGGCTTTGGGGGGAAGATGAAGGCGGATGGTCCACCCAAGAGATCAGGAGCTGGATAAGAGATGGAAATGGGTCAGTACCTGGGTCACCTTCCAATGTAGGGTCACTCAGTGCACTTGCCATCCTTCTAGGGCTAGAGCACAAGGCCTAGTGACTTACCTGGACACTTAGGACAGTTACGACACGGATCAAATTCACCTCCACGCTCTGCAGAGAAAAGGCTGGATGTTACTGGTTTTGGAGGAGAGAATACACCAAGCCAGGGAGGGGAATGCTTATTCCTGGCATGGGGTTAGCCCAAGTTGCTTCTAGAAATGATCCTTGGTGGGTTGAGACCTGAGGGCCAGGGGATCACTCCTTGGGTGGGACGGGAGAGAGGCAGAGACAGGATCTCCCCTTGTTCTGGGCTGTGGTCCCTTCCCTGGCAATGGCTGCCCAGCTTGGTTGGTCTAGGTATGCAGATGGCTTAAGACCCACCTCTAGCAAACCACTCCTCCCCTGCTTGTTCTCTCACCAATTTTCTTGTCCACCTTGGTGCTGCTGGCCGGGTGGGCGACATTGCAGATGACGGTCTGACTGGGCCACATGCTGGAGGACACAGTCACTGAGCTGCTGAGGGAGTAGAGCCCAGAATCCAGGACTGATGGGAAGATGTGCACGCCGCTGGTCAGGCTTCCAGAGTTCCAGGTTACGGTCGCCGGCTCAGGGAAATAGCCCTTGACCAGGCATCCCAGGGTCACTGTGGAGCCAGTTGGACATGCAGGAGCCAGTGGATAGACAGATGGGGCTGTTGTTGAGACTGCAAGAGAAGGGGGATGTGTGAGCTTGTCTGACACAGGTGGGCTCAGATATTTGGAGAGAGCCTGGCCTTAGATTTGCTCTGAAGACTGTGTATTCTTGAGTTTCTCTGAGTCAAGTAAGGCCAGCAGCTTCCAGTTCTAGATCCTGGACTCTGACCTTAAAGATCTTTTTAGGGTGAGGCCTCATATGGGGAGTCTAAAGTTGATGGAGGTGATGTGGGGGAAAGGCACCTGAGAGTGCTAATACTGCCAGACCCCAGAAAAGTTCCTTTCTTTTCCCAGTGGCCCTTGAAATAGTTGGATAGGCTACTATCCCTCTGATTCTGATTCATTCTTTTCTTTTTAATAGCATATTTCTTATTGTATGTTTCAAACTCGTATTGAACAATGAGTCTGGGTTGCAAAAGAGAATTTAGTTTTGTATCTTTCTTCCCCGCCTTTGTTTTTGTTGAACAAAACCACACGCAAATGATATGATTCATTCTTCTTATTCCCAGCAGCCTTTTGGTCTTCTCTCTACCTTCTCTGAACCCCACCTTCTGCAATCCCCTACTCAAGCTTCAATAGTTACCTTACCTTTCTTCTGTGGGTCAACTCTGGGCACAACTCATTCTGCCATAATAGGTCTGACACTCCTCCCCGCCCCCCCCCCCCCCCCCCCCCCGCTATTTTATGCTGCCGTAAGCTCCCAGGATCACAGCAAGGACCTCTTATACTGGAACTGTAACCCACAGGCTCACAAGACTCTAGCTTTATAGGTACTGGACCTGGCTCCCCCAGCCCCATACCAACCCAGCTCCTCAGTAGCTACTTCTGAGTCTTTCATACTCTATCTTCTCCAACACTCCTGTAGCTACACGGTCTTGTCGTTGACACCCTCCCAGCTCTAGTTCCCCTGCAATTGCTCGGCTTGATCCCCAGAGCTACTGGAACTTCTCTGGGCCCCAACATTCCCACCTCTCCCAAAGCTCTTGCAGCTCTGTCCCAGTGCCCTAGACTCCTGGGGCTGCTCTGGGACCCTGACTTTGATACCTTCCCTCACTCCTATCTGCTTCAGAGTTATCCTAGTGCTTGATCTGGGTTTCTCTGGACCATCACCAACTCTACCTACTCCAGACACTGTAGCTTCTCAGTCCAGCCCTCCACACCTCCACAGCCCCAGATCTCCTGGAGCTGTTTGACCTTGTACCCCATATTCCTTCTCAGCCAGCTCTTCAGTAACTGCTTGGCTCATTCCCCCACACCACCGCCAGTCCTTACTCCTCGGAAGCAGCTTGACCCGCTTCCTCTCACAAGGATGTGTGCTGTAGCAGTCAGCCTGAAATGCCCATAAGGCACAGCTTTCCTGTAACTGTTTGGCCCAGTACCCCAAATTCTCAACTACTCCAGCCACTCTGTGGCTGCTTATCCAGTCTCCCACATCTCACCTACCCTAACCCATTGTAGTTGCTTGGTCTTGTCCTTCATACCCCAACCTGCTACAGCTCTCCCATAACTCCCAGGTCTGATCCCTCACACTCCCACTACCCCAGTTCCCCCAAAGCAGCCACATCTGGTCCTTTACACCCCTACCTGTCCCAGCCCCACTAAAGCTTCTCAGTGTAGTTGCCTGAACTTACAGTGGCTAGGTCTTGTCCCTCACACATGTCTGCCCCAGCTCTCCCATAACATCTAGGTCTAGTCCCTCAACCATCCACCTGACCCAGCTCCCCATAGCATCTAGGTCTGGTTCATCACACCCCCATCTGTCCCAGGTTTCCCATAACTGTCAGGTCTGGCCCCTCACATCCCCACCAGTCCCAGCTCCCCCATATCTGCTAGGTCTGGCCCCTCACACCCCTACCCGCCCCAGCTCATCCATAGTTGCCAGGTTTGTTCCCTCAACCCTCACCTGCCCCAGCTCCCCACAGTAGCTAGGTCTGTTCCCTTGCACCCCCACCTACTCCAGCTGCCCTATAGCAGCTAGGTCTGTCCCTCAAATCTCCACCTGATCCAGCTCCCCAAAAGTTGCTTAGTCCATTATAATCCCATCTGCCAAGCTCCCCCACAGTTGCTCTATCTGGTCCCTCACACCCCTACCTGCCCCAGCACCCCCCCCACAGTAGCTAGGTCTGCTCCCTTGCACCCCACCTACTCCAGCTGCCCTATAGTAGCTAGGTCTGTCCCTCACACCCCTACCTGCCCCAGTTTCCCCATAATAGCTAGGTCTAGTCACTCACACCCCCACCTGTCCATGCTCCCCCACAGTAACTAGGACTGATCCCTCAAACCTCCACCTGATCTAGTACCCCAAAATTTGTTAGATCTGGTTCCTCAGACACTTATCTGCCCCAGCTCACACATAGCTGCCAGGTTTGTTCCCTCACACCCCACCTTCGCCAGCTCCCCCACAGTAGCTAGGTCTGGTCTTCCACACCCCCATACACCCCCATCTGCTACAACTCCCCCAAAGCTGCTATTTCCGGCTCCTCGCACCCCTACCTGCTCCAGCTCCCCCACAGTAGCTAGGTCTGGTCCCCCGCACCCCTACTTGCTTCAGCTGCCCCACAGTAGCTAGATCTGGTACCCTGCACCCCCACCTGCTCCAGCTCCCCCAAAGCTGCTAGACCTGACTCCTCATACCCTTACCTGATCCAGCTCCTCCAAAGCTGCTAGATCTGGCTCCTCATACCCCTACCTGCTCCAGTTACCCCAAAGTAGCTAGGTCTGGTCCTCCGCACCCCCATTTGTTCCAGCTCCCCCACAGTAGCTAGGTCTGGTCCCTCGCACCCCTACCTGCTCCAGCTCCCCCACAGTAGCTAGGTCTGGTCCCTCGCATCCCTACCTGCTAAACCTCCCCCACAGTAGCTAGGTCTGGTCCCTCACACCCCTACCTGCTCCAGCTCCCCCAAAGCTTCTAGGTCAGGTCCCTCAGACCCCTACCTGCCCCAGCTACCCCACAGTAGCTAGGTCTGGTCCCCGGCACCCCCACCTGCTCCAGCTCCCCCAAAGCTGCTAGGTCAGATCCCTCACACCCCATCCTGCCCCAGCTCCCCCAAAACTGCTAGGTCAGACCCCTCGCACCCCTACCTGGCCCAGCTCCTCCAAAGCTGCTAGATCTGGCTCCTCATACCCCTACCTGCTCCAGTTACCCCAAAGTAGCTAGCTATGGTCCCCTGCACCCTACCTGCTAAAGCTCCCCCACAGTAGCTAGGTCTGGTCCCTCGCACCCCTACCTGCTCCAGCTCCCCCAAAGCTTCTAGGTCAGGTCCCTCACACCCCTACCTGCCCCAGCTCCCCCACAGTAGCTAGGTCTGGTTCCTCGCACCCCTACCTGCCCCAGCTCCCCCACAGTAGCTAGGTCTGGTCCCCTGCACCCCCACCTGCTCCAGCTCACCCAAAGCTGCTAGGTCAGGTCCCTCGCACCCCATCTTGCCCCAGCTCCCCCAAAACTGCTAGGTCAGGTCCCTCGCACCCCTACCTGCCCCAACTCCTCCAAAGCTGCTAGATCTGGCTTCTCACACCCCTACCTGCTAAAGCTCCCCCACAGTAGCTAGGTCTGGTCCCTCGCACCCCTACCTGCTCCAGCTCCCCCAAAGCTTCTAGGTCAGGTCCCTCACACCCCTACCTGCCCCAGCTCCCCCACAGTAGCTAGGTCTGGTCCCCGGCACCCCCACCTGCTCCAGCTCCCCCAAAGCTGCTAGGTCAGATCCCTCACACCCCATCCTGCCCCAGCTCCCCCAAAACTGCTAGGTCAGACCCCTCGCACCCCTACCTGCCCCAGCTCCTCCCAAGCTGCTAGACCTGACTCCTCATACCCTTACCTGATCCAGCTCCTCCAAAGCTGCTAGATCTGGCTCCTCATACCCCTACCTGCTCCAGTTACCCCAAAGTAGCTAGCTATGGTCCCCTGCAACCCTACCTGCTAAAGCTCCCCCACAGTAGCTAGGTCTGGTTCCTCGCACCCCTACCTGCCCCAGCTCCCCCACAGTAGCTAGGTCTGGTCCCCTGCACCCCCACCTGCTCCAGCTCACCCAAAGCTGCTAGGTCAGGTCCCTCGCACCCCATCTTGCCCCAGCTCCCCCAAAACTGCTAGGTCAGGTCCCTCGCACCCCTACCTGCCCCAACTCCTCCAAAGCTGCTAGATCTGGCTTCTCACACCCCTACCTGCTAAAGCTCCCCCACAGTAGCTAGGTCTGGTCCCTCGCACCCCTACCTGCTCCAGCTCCCCCAAAGCTTCTAGGTCAGGTCCCTCACACCCCTACCTGCCCCAGCTCCCCCACAGTAGCTAGGTCTGGTCCCCGGCACCCCCACCTGCTCCAGCTCCCCCAAAGCTGCTAGGTCAGATCCCTCACACCCCATCCTGCCCCAGCTCCCCCAAAACTGCTAGGTCAGACCCCTCGCACCCCTACCTGCCCCAGCTCCTCCCAAGCTGCTAGACCTGACTCCTCATACCCTTACCTGATCCAGCTCCTCCAAAGCTGCTAGATCTGGCTCCTCATACCCCTACCTGCTCCAGTTACCCCAAAGTAGCTAGCTATGGTCCCCTGCAACCCTACCTGCTAAAGCTCCCCCACAGTAGCTAGGTCTGGTTCCTCGCACCCCTACCTGCCCCAGCTCCCCCACAGTAGCTAGGTCTGGTCCCCTGCACCCCCACCTGCTCCAGCTCACCCAAAGCTGCTAGGTCAGGTCCCTCGCACCCCATCTTGCCCCAGCTCCCCCAAAACTGCTAGGTCAGGTCCCTCGCACCCCTACCTGCCCCAACTCCTCCAAAGCTGCTAGATCTGGCTTCTCACACCCCTACCTGCTAAAGCTCCCCCACAGTAGCTAGGTCTGGTCCCCGGCACCCCCACCTGCTCCAGCTCCCCCAAAGCTGCTAGGTCAGATCCCTCACACCCCATCCTGCCCCAGCTCCCCCAAAACTGCTAGGTCAGACCCCTCGCACCCCTACCTGCCCCAGCTCCTCCCAAGCTGCTAGACCTGACTCCTCATACCCTTACCTGATCCAGCTCCCCCAAAGCTGCTAGATCTGGCTCCTCATACCCCTACCTGCTCCAGTTACCCCAAAGTAGCCAGCTATGGTCCCCTGCAACCCTACCTGCTAAAGCTCCCCCACAGTAGCTAGGTCTGGTTCCTCGCACCCCTACCTGCCCCAGCTCCCCCACAGTAGCTAGGTCTGGTCCCCTGCACCCCCACCTGCTCCAGCTCACCCAAAGCTGCTAGGTCAGGTCCCTCGCACCCCATCTTGCCCCAGCTCCCCCAAAGCTGCTAGGTCAGGTCCCTCGCACCCCATCCTGCCCCAGCTCCCCTAAAACTGCTAGGTCAGGTCCCTCACACCCCTACCTGCCCCAACTCCTCCAAAGCTGCTAGATCTGGCTTCTCACACCCCTACCTGCTCCAGTTGCCCTACAGTAGCTAGGTCTGGTCCCTCACACCCCCACCTGCTCCAGCTCTCCCAAAGCTGCTAGGTCAGGTCTCTCGCACCCCTACCTGCTCCAGCTCCCCCACAGTAGCTAGGTCTGGTCCCTCGCACCCCTACTTGCTAAAGCTCCCCCAAAGCTTCTAGGTCAGGTCCCTCACACCCCTACCTGCCCTAGCTCCCCCACAGTAGCTAGGTCTGGTCCCCGGCACCCCCACCTGCTCCAGCTCCTCCCAAGCTGCTAGACCTGACTCCTCATACCCCTCCCTGTCCCAGCTCCCCAAAAGCTGCCAGATTTGGTGTCTCGCACCCCTACCTGCCCCAGCTCCCCCACAGTGGCTAGTTCTGGTCCCCCACACCCCCACCTGCTACAGCTCCCCCACAGCTGCTAGGTCTGGTTCCTCGCACCCCCACCTGCTTCAGCTGTCTCATAGCATCTAGGTCTGGCCAATCACACCCTCACTTGCCCCAGCCCGCATATAGTAGCTAGGACTGTTCCCTCCCACCCCCATCTACCCCAGCTTCCCCACAGCAGGTCTAGTACCTCACACTCCCACCTGCCCCACCTCCCACACAGTAGCTAGGTCTGGTTCCTCACATCCCCACCTTCCCAATCTCCCCTACAATTGTTAGATCTGGTTCCCACAGTTCTTGGGATTACTTAACCTTCTCCTCTGTTTCTGACACCCTGCAGTTGCTAAGCTTGGCCCCCTCTACTCCTCCACTAACCTCAGTTTTCCAGTAGCTGTTTAGCCTGCTGGCCTCTCCTCTGCTACCAGCTCCAGTTCCTCAGTAG